ATGGTGTTTTTCAATGGAAGTCCCCCCCCTGGGGCTCGCACCCTGTTTTTCAACAAGGAGTTATTGGGTCTCAGGATTGGGTTGTTCGCCCCTGGTTTGCAACAACAGCGGCTCCCACCTGGATTCCTTCACAATGTATGTAGGAATCGCGCTCTCGCGTGGGATTTCCTCGCAATTTATTCGGACACCGCGCCTTGGACACTCAGATATCACGCTCTCGCTGTGGATTTCATCACGATTTATTTTGAAATTCGTCTATCGCTGGAGTCTTTCTCGCGATTCATGCAAGATGCACGCTTCAGCAAGCCGCCTGCTCGACCTGGCCGCCTGGGCCCGCCTTGTCGACCCGCCCGTTTGGGTCTACCCGCCCGATCTGCCAGCCTGGTTCTGCCACGTGCGTTCTGCCCTCGTGCTACTCTCTGTCGTGCTCCATCCTCTTCCTTCCCCCTTGTCCCTTCCTTCCAGCCGTCCTCTCTTCCCCTGCCTTAGGGGCTGCACGAAATGCACGTTGCAGGTAAGAGAGGTATACTTCCAAAGGGGTACTATCGAAGACGAAGAGGGCGGTATCGAGGCTTTGGGAGATACGTGTTGGATGCGCACGCGAGCAGATAAGAGCGAGCAGTCCTAACATTTGTGATTCTCATCAGTAATTATAATATTAATTCTACCCGTATTATTAATGGTATGGTGTTGTTGTTGTTGAACTCTCATTGTTGACGAATAAGTTTTGCCGGTCTCCCCCCCTCTGGGGCACATGGTGTTTTTCAATTGAAGTGCCCTTCCCGGGGCTCGCACCCTGTTGGTTGTCAGGGAAAGTCTTGGGTCTCAGAATTCTGTCTCTGGCCCTTGTTTTACAACAACAACGACAACAACAATAACAGCGGCTCCCGCTTGATACTTCCTTACAGTGTGTTCCCAAATCGCGCCCGCGCGGGATTCCCTAACAATGTATGTCAGCGCATTCGCTCTCGCGTGGGACTTCCTTACAATTTATTCAGACGCCGTGCCCTCGACACCTAGGAATCACGCTCTCGCTTTAGATTTCCTCAGGGTTGATTTAGGAATCGCGCTATCGCTCGAGACTTCCTCGCGATTCTTGCAGGACGCACGCTTCAGCAATCCGCCTGCTCGATCTAGCAGCCTGGGCCCGCCTTCCCAATCCGCCCGTCAGCATCTACACGCCGAATCTGCCCGCCTGGTTCTGCCACGTGCGTTCTGCTCCTGGCCCCCCTCCTGCTACTCTCTCTCGTGCTCCATCCTCCTCCCTCCCCGTTGCCTCTTCCTTCCATCCGTCCTCTTTTCCCCTGCCTTACAGGCTGCACGAAATGCACGTTGCAGATAAAAGAGGTGTACTTCCAAGGGGGTACGATCGAAGACGACGAGGGCGGTATTGAGGGCTTGGGATATGCATGTTGAATGACACGCGAGCAGATAAGAGCGAACAGTCTTCAAATGTGTGTGGTTACTGAGGGTGCTGTTGTTGTTGTTGTTTTTGATGTTGTTATTGATTTTCGTGCTGTTATTGGTGATGGTGGTGCTGTTGTTGTTGATGCTGGTATTGCTGATGCTCTTGTTGTTGCTGTGTTTGTGGTTGTTGTTGGTGTTGTTACTGGTGGTGTTGGTGCTGTTGTTGTTGGTATGTTGGGTGTTGCGGTTGTTGTTGCTGGTGGTTGTGTTGTTGTTCCCCCCCCCGCCTGGTAATCATTGCATAGGTTGAATGAAAGTGTTTCTCTCGGGGCTTCCACCTTGTTTTTTCAAGGGAAAGTGAGGGATCATCAATCTGTGTTGTTGGACCCTGAAGTACAACAACAGCGGCTCCCGCTTGATAATTCTTCACCGTGTATTCCCAAATCGCGCTCTCGCGCGGGGCGTCCTCACAATGTGTACAGGAATCGCGCTCTCGCGGGGGACTTCCTCGCAATGTATTCAGACGCCGCGCCCTCGACACTCAGGAATCACGCTCTCGCTGTGGATGTCCCCACGAATTATTTAAGAATCGTCTGTCGCTCGAGTCTTCCTCGCGATTCATGAAGGACGCACGCTTCAGCAACCCGCCTGCCCCTTGTCCCTTCCTTCTATCCGTCCTCTCTTCCCCTCCCTTAGGGGCTGCACGAAGTGCACGTTGCAGGTAAGAAGGTGTACCCCTAAGGGGTACGATCGACGACGAAGAGGGCGGGTATCGAGAATGAGAGACTGGCACGCGAGCAGGTAGGAGCAAACAGTCTCAAAATGATTGTTATTGCTATTGCTGTTGCTGTTGCTGCCGCTGTTGCTGTTGCTGTTGGCAAGTCAGATATATCCCCCGAAGGGGTGCAATCAAACACGAAGCGGGCGGGTATCGAGGGTTGGGGTATACAGAATTCAAGACACGTGTGCCCGTAAGAGCGAACCGTCTTACAATGATTGGTGTTGTTGTTGTTGCTGAATTCTCATGTCTAAAGGATAACTATTGGTACCCGTCTCTGGTAACCATTGCACGTTTCAAGTGAAGTGTTCCTCCAGGGTCTTGCGCCCGGTTTTTTAAGGGAGAATTAAGTGTCACCAAACTCGGCCCCCTGGCTCCCGACTTACAACAAGAACGGTTCCCGCCTGATACTTCCTAACAAGTCATTCCAGCATCGCGCTCTCGCGCAGGACGTCCTCATATTTTATGCAGCTGTCGCGCTCTCGCGTTGGACTTCCTCGCAATGTGTTTCAACGCCGCGCCCTCGACGCTCAGGAATCGCCCTCTCGCTCTGGCTTTTCTCACGGTGCATTTGGGAATCGCATTATCGCTCGAGTCTTCCTCACGATCCATGCAGAACTCACGCTTCAGCAACCCGCCTGCTCGACCTGGCCGCCTTGGCCCGCCTTCCCGATCCTCCCATTACTGTAGGGTCTACCCGCTCGATCAGCCCGTCTGGTTGTGCCACGTGTTTTCTGCTGCTGGCCCCCGCGTCCTGCTAATCTCTCTCGTGCTCCATCCTTCTCCCTCCCCAATCCGTCCTCTCTTCCCTTGTTTTAGGGGCCCGGCCAAATCTATGTGGCAGGTAAGACAGATATACATCCAAGGGGGTACGGTCGAAGACGAAGAGGGCTACACAGGGTTTGGGATATACGTGTTGAGTGGCACGCAAGCAGGTCAGAGCGACCAGTCTTAAATTGCTTGCGGTTGTTGTTGATGGTGATGTTGATGTTGATGCTGATGTTGATGTTGTTGATGATGATGATGACGATGACAATGATGAATTTGATGATGATGATGTTGATGATGATGTTGATGCTGATGGTGATGATGCTGATGATGATGGTGATGGTGATTGTGGTGATGAGGTTGATGATGATGCTAATGCTGACGATGATGATGACGATAACGATGGCGATGGCGATGACGACGATGATGATGTTGATGATGCTGGTGTTGACCATGATGATGATGATGATGATGATGATGATGATGATGATGATGATGACGATGACGATGACGATGACGATGACGATGACGATGACGATGACGATGACGATGACGATGTTGATGATGACGATGATGCTGATGAGGAGGACTATGCTGATGCTGATGATCATGATAATGAGGATCCTGAAGGTAATGATGATGATGATGATGATGACGACGACAAGAAGGAGGGGGAGGAGGAAGAAGAGGAGGAGGGGGAGGAGAAAGAGGAGGAGGAGGAGGAAAAGGAAGAGGAGGAGGACGCGGCGGAGGAGGAGGAGGAAGAAGGAGGGGGACCAGAGGGAGGATAATGACGACGACAAAGAACAGAGAGAAGGAGAGTTATAAGGAGTAGGGCAGTGATGAGAAGGAGGAGGAGAAACGACCCCGCACTCGATCGACCTTGCACTTGACCAGGAATGCTCGGAGGATTCATTCTCGAGAAGAGTTTGAAGCGGGATTTCGGCTTGCGGGTGTCAAGACGAGTCCGTCCCTGCCTCATTCCTCCGCCCTCCCTCTTCCTCCCTTCTCTTCCCTCCTTCCCCCCTCCGCCTCCTCCTCTCTTCCACCCCCTTTCTCCTCCTCCCTCTCCTCCTCTTCCTCCTTCCTCCTCCGCACTCCTCCCCGAGTCGGGACGAAGCCCCGGGGTGGGGGGGGGGGGGGGCGGCCAGCTGTCCACCTGCACTTGCCCAGGCCAGGCCAGGCCTGCCAGGCCAGGACCCGGGATTGCGTGCACGCCTCTGACGTATACAGTCGAGTCTGATCAGTAGGTCGACCCTGCCAAGTCAAGGGTACCCTCGTGTCCTGTGTTTCGCGCACTCTGGGTTCACGAGGGGCTCTCGTGTTCGAGCCGTCCCTCGGGTCCAGTAGGCCACGGGGATCCTCTGTGTGGCGAGGGCTCCAGATCGGCCAGACGCGCCCCCTCTTCGTTTCTGATTCAGGATTCAAGAGTGAGGAGGAGGAGTAGGAGAAGGACGAGGAGGACCAGTGTAAACCCAAGGGTCACCAACGATGTTGGAATAAACCCTCCCCCCAAGCTCCCTCTTCATAGGCCCCCACAACGTCTCATTTCCACAGAGGGACCTGCCTCGTTGGAAGACAACCGTTTGAAGGCCCTGAAGCATGTTAAAACATTATTCTCGGCATCAACGCCACGGATTCACCTAACTGTTGCGTCTTGACGATCCTGAATCGTGCCAGACATCGCCTCCTGGGACCTCACCTCCGCGAATAATCCTAACTGATGCGCCTTCAAAATCGCGAATCCTTCCAAAAGGCAGTTTCTGGTACGTCGATCATGGGCAACCGTGGATCTCTTGCATTTTTGTATCCACAATGTGCGCGGCGCTATGGCGAGAGCCACATTTTGACAACGACCCGCCTTCAATCCGCGAGCTTCTTGAAAACGTTTAAAACGAATGTGCGCTGTGCTGAAACGAGAGCCACATTTTGAAATCGCTGACTCACGAAGGTGAAGCAAAATTAGCACTGCTTGCCCCATGCATGTTCTGTCCTCTCCCCCTCTGCTTCTCCTTCCCCTCTTTGTGCCGCTGCAGCAGTGTCGCAT